GTGCCCTTCTCCTACGCCACGAAAACGCCTTTCCCTGTAACACCGCGTGCTCTACTACTCCTATACGGCTTATCTTTCTATTACGTTAGTTATATATATATACAACTAGTAGAACCGGCCGAGTATTACGCGCTCGAGATATTTGATTCGATAGTCGATCGAGTTTATAATCGTCCAATGACCGTCTATCGATTGTCTTGCCAATGATTCAATGCTCCCCCTTTGATCTAACGAAGAGTGAAACCATTCGAAAAGGTTTTGACCGTGTTAAAATATATATATATATAAAAATGCGTGGGCTCGTTGGAGAAAGGAAAGACACGTTTAGGGTTAAAACTAGGGTGGGAGGGCGTGCACCGGTTAAGATGGAAGAACCGATAATAGCGGGATCGGCGTTTATACGGAACGTAGATAGGATCTTGGACGTTGGAGTCGGAAGAATAGACGACGAGGGATGCCGTTACCAGATGCACGCGGTAGAAGTCGGTGCTGCAGATCGGGCGCAACGATGGTGGGATGCACCTTCGTAGTACCTCTTACCTGCTGGCACACAGATACACATACACACACACATAAACACACACCCTCTTTCTCCCGCGTGTATGACGGGGACCGGACCGAAGGGAGAAACTTGGGATTAATCTGTCGGTGGCACGCGCCACCGACACAGGTGCTTCTCTTTCAAACTTGCCGGCCAACTTTTCTCTCTCTCTCTCTCTCTCTCTAGCAATCCCTTCGAAAACAAAGCTAAACGATCGACTATTTTTTTGTAGTTATACCTTTATCTCCAAACGATCCGACATGCCAAACTCTCGATAGGATCTTTACGTCGTAAAAACTAACAAACGAGTTAACGAACCAAACGCAAATATGGAATGTAAATTGTAAGATATTCGAGAAAACAGGAATATTTGCAAGACTGTTACAGCTACAACGTTCGAAATTAGTTAAAATCTATGGTTAAGGTAAATCGGCTAATTTCCCACGAACGACTTTGCAAAGTTGTCCAAGTGCTCGGTTCGTTCATTTCTAAGAGATTGCAAAACCGGAACAGAAAGAAGCTTCTCTCGGTGTATACTTCGGTTGGAAGCTAATCGACCGGTCTCCAAGGAATTCTCGTCAACTTCAACGCGACGATAATCTCGAAAGATTAAGGGAGTCGTATAAAAACCGAAACGAACATCACCAAAGTTCTCGTAATAAGATTTTGACAAAAAAAAAGAAAGCGTGTATGAAATAAAAATGTGACTTTAGTCATTAATTGTAAGTCAAAACTATAAAAGAGAAAAAGTAAGAAAGTCACTTTTACCGTTGATAAGTTTAGCCGTTAAACTTCCATAGCATTGAGAAACTGGAATTACTTGACCCGCGAGTGACGACTTCGTTCCAGTCAAACGTCCCGCACGTAAAACCGCATATTTAGCGTCTAACGTAAATACATTTTACGTGGGTCGACCGAGCGAGATATGCTCCAGTAGTCGCATAAATGATTTTTATTCTCAACTTAAATTAGATGCAATGGTCAATAGGCTTCTGTTAGCATTCGCGACAAATTCGACGCTATTTTTGTGTTGCGTGGAAATCCAATTATAATGTAGATATATGCGCGTTGCGATTGGTCGCTGTTGTAGGTAACGTTCGAACGATGGTGTATACATGCACCTAGGTAACGGGGTTAATGAGCAAGAGAGGAAAAGAGACGACGTTTTTGTTTTTTTTTTCTTGCTCGCAAGCTCGATCGAGAGTCGATGGTAATCTTTCGTTGAGTAGATACGCCTCGCGTGAATATTCATGCACGCGTGTTCTCTCTTTCTCTCTTGTTAGAGTTAATCGCCGATACCGAGAACGATCATCATCGATGCTTCGATACCAGTTCGCGATAAGAAGTCTGAGCTGCGCTTTCCGATCCAACGCGAGCGTGTACTTTAATTTTCTAATTGCCTACACAGAAAAGAACGAGATACCGACAAAATCATCCTTTACAATGTTTTATATTATGTTTTAACCATTACAACATAAAACGGATATTGCATGAAATTGGAATAAACTTAAAGATCGATATTGAAATATACGTGAGAAAGGGATCTATGGATCATCATCGTTCTCCTCTCTGTAGCTCTGTATGGTTGGAGAGAAGGAAGGAAAACGCGTGTTTGAAATCGATAGGATGATATAATCGAAAAGGGTGAGAAAGAGAAGCACGTTTCCGAAGATTCCTTTGGGAGATTCCATGCAAGAGAGTATTCGTTCGTTTATGGACCGAACCAGTTGCATAATGTATTATCGAGTGTTTTCGCGTGAGACTCGGTTGCGTTTACGCGCGTGCGTACTACGAGAATTCCGGTAGCTAAGATGTATATGTGTGTGTGTGTGTGTGTATATGGCTCTTCGGTCGAGCAATTTCTTGATGCATATTGTCACGCGTTGTTAAGCCTCGAGAGCACCGCCATTACGAGTGAGCTGCTGCTGCTGCTGCTGCTTCCACTATACTACTAAGAAGAGGAGTCTTGTAGAGATCCTTTACGTGCGGTTTAACCGGCTGGCACATCGTCGTCCTTCGCGTTAAAGGGAGTAACATCCTAGACGTCAAATGGATGAACGAGTTCTACGAATCTTCTCGATCGTTCGACAAAAATTTCGATCGTTGTTTCGATGGAACTTTCATGTTTCTCTTCTGGACGAGTAATAATAGTCATTTGAAAAAAGAAAGATCGATTTATCGTTAGTCAAATTTAGGAGTAACAGAGGGAAAGGTTGAGTCATCGCGATAGAAATAAAATAGTCGAGAGCGCGTAGTTTCTATTTTGTGCTCGTTAGAGAAACACGAGCTACCCTTCGGACGATCTTTCCCGATCGTTCGACCACACGCGAGAGGAGAGTAGCGCCCAGGATTTTTCCTCTCTACGCAAACACGATTCCATTTTGCTTTCTCTCTCTCTTTCTCTCTTTCTTCTTTCTTAGTGCACGAGCCAAGACTCGAAACTCGTTTCACTGCTGCTGCTGTTGCTGTTGCTACTACTACTACAACTACTACTACTACTACTACTATACTATGGCGTTTCCTCGTCCACCTCCGACGAGCTTTACCTTCCTTCTTAGAGACGTAAAGAGTGGTGCCTGCCAGAGAAAGAGAGTACCGATGGTAGTCCTATGGGCCTCGTGAGAGGGATAGTTAGTAAAGTACGCGGCCGTTCAGGGACCATAAACAATGGTTTTAGCGACTACGTATATACTTCGAGCCGACTCCCACGGTTGCAAAGAGAAAGAAAGACGATTCCTCTCTTCCGACTCGTGCACGATCTTTACGCTCGTACTTTGCCCAACTACAACTTGCCCACTTTGCTTTACTTAAGCTCCTTTTCCCTCTGAGCCAATCTTTTAACCTTTTTTTATTTTTTTTTTCTAATTTCTTATTCTTTTTGCGCGTTCAATACTATCTTCTAGTCTGGATAGATTGTATAAACTATTTCATCGTGGAAACACATAGGGAAAGAAAATTGTTTGGTAAAAGCGGTAAGTACCTACTTATAGGATCTCCTCCTCATGTTGCGCATAATACGATATAATTATATGCGATATAATCGTTGGGTGACTAACGTTCGTTCCTTCTATTTTTTTTTTTTTCCTTTTCTCTCATATTTTTCCTTGCAGAGAATTGCTAAACTCTCTGTGACTCTCGGCGTTTGTTGTTCGGTATTATCTACTCTCTTGTTGGCAAGGGTGTCAAGTAAAGAGTGTGCGCTTATGCTTCTCGCCGTTCCCATACTTATGTCTACGTTAAGTGGGAAAAAGGTTGCCGACTTTGTTCCTGCGTTAGCTTATTTCGCGCGTTTACGCTTTGTCCGTCGCAATTCGCTCAACGACGCGATCCTTCTCTTGGAATTTTCCTTTTTTTTCTTTCGGATCAAAAAAACAAAAACAAAAAAAATACGAAAAGTGCATCTTTTCGGGCGTGTCTGACCGTGACCGTTCGAAGGGAAAAGAGAAAATCTGTATCCTCTGTTTACTACGTCCTGTTTCGCGATGCAAATCGACGGAACGCGGGAGTAGTTTTGAATTTCACGGATGAACGACGAATGACGATTTGTGCGACCGCCTGGTGAAACCTCTCTCTTTCTCGTAGCAAAGCTCCATGCCTTTTCTCCCACGGACGGACAATGGAAAAAAAAAATGAAATTTATTCTTGAAAATTTACGAACCGCGTTCGCGTTTGCGTTCGCGTTCGCGTTCGCGTTCGTTCTACGGCACATCGGAGAACACAAGATTTCTCGTATAAATAACTTAGAAGTTCAGAAGTTAATTTAGGTGCTTGATACAGCGGTAATGACTTTGACGTTTGACAAAAGTAATCTCGGTGATAATAACAACGATCCGACATTAAAAAAAAAAAAAAAAGTAAGAAAAGAAAAAGACAAGAAAAAGACAAGGAAAAAAGATAGATAGAAGTGGCTTGTCTCGAAAGTAGTCGTCAAAGTCCATCGTTTCGGAATATCGAATGGGAGAGAAGAAGATAGAAAGCGTGGACACGAAATTACGCTTCATTCATCCTTTCATTCATCCTCCCACCGAGCCGCCCTCGGTGTGTCGCTTTGCGGCGGCCTTCTCGGACATAATAAGCAAAAAAGATCACCCGGCAGGCCATTACGTAGAAAGGAACGAAGAAATTATCTACTCCGGGCGTAAAAAGCGTGGCAAAGGCAATTCCACCGTGGTTGGACCACCGAGACTTATTTTTGTAATCCTTCGTCTACCTAACTTCCTTCTGTCATCCTTCCCGTACTATACCCAGGAGGAGGGTATAGGAATACCGATACCAACTCTATTCTTTCATCATTGATCTCCTTGATCTCTCCGCGAGTCACTGGCCGGACGCGAACTGTGACCGATTACACCTGCGTGAAAAAAAAACACACACACACACACATACAATAAGATCGTCCAGTCACTCGATATACACTTTCGATATAAGATTATATTTCGATATTATTTTTTGTTCGCAGGAAGGAAAGAAGCGGAAAGAAGGGAGCCGCCAGACGCCTCGTCCAAATCGGCGAGGTGTTGTCCGAGGTGGAGGAGGGCGTCGGGAGGAGAGGGTTGGAAGGAGGGTGGCGTGCTATGATCAGCATGGAGCTTCCGGCCCACGCGACGCAGCATGGTGCTCTTCACCTGGGGGTCGGGGTCGCGGTTAATCCAGGTGATCCAGCCGGAAGTACTCTAGCCGCCATTCATCCGCATCCCCAGGATCCCCTAGCCCTCCACCATCACAATCACGCTGCCGCGACACCCGGAGGTATGCATGAGGACTCCAAGAAAAAACGTATGTTTCTTCTTACGAATCCAAAATCTCTCAAATTCAATATTTTCGATCTTTCTTTGTCCTAGGAATATTTTTCGTTTGATAAATTTTGAAATGTGTATCTTGTACAAATTGATAGAGAATTTCACGGACATCGAAAGCGTCGGAAAGAACGAATAACGAGCGCGCTGTTTGCACGCGCGGCTGCGAATCCGTATAAAATCGTAATATTTCATTATTAAAAGAAAATTCCACGAGAAAGAGAGAGAGAGAGAAGATGGTTGTTGATTAAAAATCGAAAAGTCGAGCGTATCGGGCAAGTATCAAGTGCTTTTTCTTTGGCCGATCGGAAAGCAAGGTGGCGCGAGACATTCGGCACTCTCTCTCTGCAAGAGAAAAGAGAAAGAAAGAGAGGGACGACGGGTATATAGTCGGTGTTTTGTCGCCGTAATTGGTCTTCTTCTTGTCCGCGTTGCCGAGTCGACGCTGGTCTCGTAAAAACGACCCCAGGTGAGATGCCGACACTCGCTCGTACATACACAAGCTCTCTCTCTTTCTCTCTCTCTCTCCACTTGGTGTCGTACTCACTCCTTCTAGTCGTTCTGTGCTTTTTCTCAACTCTCTCTTCAATCTTTTTTCTCAATCATTCGTCGTCTTCCCATATCGAGCGAATCGAGCTCGATGATTTTTGTCCGCTTCGAATCGAAAGCAAATACGACACGCACGCCTTCGACAGGGTTTCTTTATTCCGTTCTCTACCGTTTTGTCTGCGCCTTTGCGAGAGAACTTCCTCCTTTCCATCATGAGTACGATGCATAGGTATATATATTATACATATTGTGGTATGTACACACCTGCGAGAAGACCTTTCTATATACTTTTCGCACGAAAGTAATCTTATTCAACTAATTCCAAAAGAAATTACACGTATAGGATTGTAACCCCTTTCTTTCCTCCTCTCTTTCCTCCTCTCTTTCTCTCTGTGTGTTTTTCTGCACGCGTAAATCAGGGAGTTCAAACAGCACTTAAGCCGTGACTAATCGGTGCATATCGAACGATAAAATCGAACTCGCCGTAAGAGCAACCTCGATCGCGAAACTTTTAGGTATCGCCTTGTATTATGTATACCTACTACAGATAGTAGTAGTAGGATAAAAGTTGTTACTCGCTAAACACACGCGGCTTCCCTTTCTTCTTCTTATCTCTTTTCTCTCTCTCTCTCTCTCTCTCTCTCTCTCTCTCGCACTTTATTTACCTTTTTATTTTTTTGACGAGTATGCAAGTTCTTTCCTGGACGATAATTACTCGATCGTCGTGGATCGCTATCGCATCGGTGTCTTCCTTGATTTTCTTTACTTCTTTCCATTCTTTTTTTTTTCCCCCCCTTAAAGTTCTCCCCATAATGGCCGATAAAAGTAGGCACGGGTTCTTATCTCGGTGCTTCTTGGTTGCGCACGAGCTTAGAATATTACCGGTCGATAATTAATACCGGCAAAGGAAAGGAAAGGAAAGGAAAGGAAAGGAAAGGAAAAGAAAAGAAAGGGAAAATCGCGAGGAAGGGTTTATACAGGGTTACTCTTAACCCCGAAGCTGCATGGCGTGGTACATATAACCGATAGGAATGTGGTGCCGGGCAAAAAGGTCGAGGCACGTGCTTCGTGGAAAGCCGCCGATAAATCTTCGTCCTGGCAAGGCACAGCCGGCGCTTCCATTACGATCTCGAAGGATGACGATGCATCCTCGAGCGCATACATTCTATGTATGTATACATACGTGTATATCAAAGTTTTATTCCTATCTTTTATCCTCCAATATCTTTAACAACTGTTTTCCAAAGAGTCTTTGCTCTCTGTCGAATGTTCCATCCAAGAAATTCATTTTTCTATTACATATATGTTTTAGTTTAGTCTTTCGAGTAATTATCAAATAAATTGCTACGTCATGGATATAAATAATTACGTTCGTTCTCATCATCGAGGATGATAATCGCGGTAAAAGTGATCCTAATTAAATCTTCGATCTGCGGGATATCCAAGTATACAAATGGAAAGAGGGAGAGAGAGAGAGAGAGAGAGAGAGAGAACTGGACTCAAAGTTAGCGCGTGAAAGACGGCCTTGTTCCATACGGAACAATCGAGTTAGCTGAAGTTGCTTGGATGCCTTGCGAACGTTTGCCATCCTGGACACTCATCGTCGTACTCGTGCACGTGTATTTATGTGCATGCAAGTTCGAGTACGTGCTTTTGTAAACGACAAGCATCGAGCGAAAAGAAGAAGAGTTCGTCCTTCGTCCTTCGTCCTTCGTCCTTCGTTCTCCTCTCTCTTCACTTATGTGTAACGTCGTTCGGGACTGAGAAAGACACAGTGGTGCTGGTTAAGGAAGATGAAAGGCCGCCGCCGTGGCAGGAGCCAGTGACAAGGCATGAGCTCTCGATACGAATAAAAGAAAAAAAAAAAAAAAGAAAACAAAGAGAAAAAGATGGGTAGATTGATAGAAAGAGGAGAAAGTCCAGAAGGGGGTCGTTAAATCTAATGATATCAACTATTTGACAAAGCTAAGCCCAGAGACCACACACACATCTGGAGAGTACACGTTACGTACGCTTCTTTTTCGCATTATCAAAAGATATAGTTTCGTATCGAGAAGATAATAGGTTGGTAATATTTTTGAACGATGATTAATTGCCAGGAGAATTGTATTTCGTGAAGGAAAGATTTATGATCGATATCGTTATGTATTAATCATATTTATTATACGCGCTTTAATCGTTCGATGCGATTCTAAATATTTGTTGTCTCACGTTGCCGATGAATGGGGTAGAAGAAGTTGCAATCGAATCAATCGCATGGCCCATCTTCTTCCTATATATTATCGATATCGCCGATCTAGCGCCCAATAACGAGAATCGAGGAAGAGAGAAACGACTTGCTGCTGCTCCTGACAGTGATCGACCGTGCATTCGAGGCTTTAATGTCAATCTGGAAACGATTCGAGCATGCTTGACCTTTCTACCTCTTCGAAATATTCGCCTCAAAATCTAAAGTCTTTCGTTTACCAAGATAATCAAACGAGAAATCTGACATTAATTACCAAACGCGAAAAAAAAAACTATTGCAAATTCAAACGTTGTTTATCGTTTGGCCTGTATAATTAATATGAACACAGTTTCGAACAAAGTCCAAATAGAAAATCTTAATCAACCTTTGTAATTTCCATATTCTATGTATATAAATGAAACAAAAAAAAATAAAGTTTATAGTGTATAACAAGTTTTCAATGGTGTCTATAATATATTCCAATAGGTTGTAATTTGCAATATTTTTGTTGTCTCTCTCTCTCTAGTTTATCTCGCGATCGATATGACATCGATTCTTCGTCAAACGTTCGTTGCATGACTCGGTCTACGAATTAATCGCGTTTGCTTTGAAACTTATGGGAGTCGAAGGTCCGTTTCTCTCTAAAAGAAGAAGAAGAAGAAGAAGAAAGGTACTAGGACTCAACTCTTAGCAGTCTTCGATTATCTCTAATGGTGCGTGTCTTTGAGTGGTCGCATTAATTTGTAATTAATACCTCGAGTAGCTTTGAAAAGGAATAAAACATGCAGAGAGACATGCATTAAAATACATCGACGCGTCGGAAAGCGTTGCACCGCGTAATCTCCGTGTTTGCAAATGCGAATGAAATCGTTTAGTAAACCTAACCTGAGAGACTACCTAATGATTATTTCGTATATCGGTACTGGTTGTGTTTGGAATTGGTTTATTGTTTCTTATTCACCTTCTCCGATTACTTTTGCGATCGTGACTAAGCGAGAACACAAACCTTCTTGGTTGGATTCCGTTATGTTGCTTGGTAATTAAGACGATCGGCGTTTACAAAGCTTACATAATTATTGTCAACAGATAGAAAGAAAGAATAAAGAGAGTTAGTTGTGACGATGATGACGCGAAATGCAGTGGACAAAATTTGTTAACTCGACCGCGAACGGCAAGAAATATGAAAGTTGGTCGACTCTCTCGATTTTTGCTCTTCTCGATTACGTCATTCGAGTACGATCACGTAAATCTTTTCTCATGATCTCTCTCGATAGGTTAATAAAAAAATCCTTGATAAAAAAAATTCTTCATAAAAAGTTGTCATTTTTTATTGGAAAAAAGAAAAAAAAATCAACCTGCCTATTATGATAGAATAAAATGCGAATTTTAATAATGAACCGTTTACTATTCATACCTTTACTTTTTATTATTCTTTTTAATGAATGTGCAATAGTTTTATGACTTGTATTAATATAGATTTAAGCTGACAGATACTTTCTAATATAATATTAAGCAAGATAATAAGAAAATACAATATATAGAAAAAAAAACCAAATAAATACATTTCTAGGAGAATCATAGAAGTTGGAGAAAGTTTCTATCGGTGCGTCATCTTTTTCAAATTCTTTTGCGAATAATTATTAGCTTTTTTATAATCATCGACAACACATATTTGTCTAATGGAATATTCGTCTTTCATCCCTTCGTAAGAAGAAAGATGCCGCGATGCGAGGTTAACTGTAAAAGTAGCTACTGGAGAGAAGTCTACTCTGACTATCTTGAAATCGGTCAATAAATTTAATCGAAGCAACGACGATGACGACGACGACGACGACGACGATGACGACGAATGTCATAATCATGCCGCATATGGGAGAGGCATCGTCGGTACGTCGATATAATCGTAAATAACAACGACGACGTATGAATTTCGCTGCGACTTGGTTATCGAACGAAATAAGAAATTTTACTGATACCTAGTCTCTACCGATCATTAACGATCTTATTTAACGATAAGATTACCGGAGAGATTAATGTTCAATTCGTTAGAAAAAAAAAAAAAAAAAGAAGAAGAAGAAGAAAAATATTAAAAAAATATTTAGACTTTCGTTCTGCATACTTATGCATATCTATATAGATGCACGCAGAGATACTAACAAGAATATACTTATTTAAACATCGTTCCATCTTATAAACAAGATGATATTAGATCAGTCAATTTTACGATATATGTATCATATATCATTTATCATCGATCTAAAGCATACAACCTGTACAAGTTATTAATGTTACTTTCATTTTTTTTTTGTCTTTTTTTTGTTTTTTCCTACACTAAAAAACTAAACCTATCCATGGTTATTTATAGCTTCTTGAGTTTCTTAGAAAATTCGTATAGACCAAAGAGAATTTATTTAACAACGAGATTATAATTATTTACGAGTATTTTCTGCAACGTCGTTCAAATGGATTATTTACAAATTATCGAACTTCGTAACGTTGAATAAATCAATTTATCAATAGGAGAGAAAAACAAGATATACGATGAGGAGACTTTTAATATGCAGATAGTATAGAAACTCTGTATGTAAATTCCGTAACAGTTTGAGTGGCAGGACGTAATATTTCGTTGGAGTAGTCCGCGCTCCTTCGAAAGCATTCGGGGTGAGATAGCGTCGGTTATTTATGGGGTTAAATAAAGGAACATTGCGAGATGCGGCGGCGATACCACCGAGACCAAGTCCAAGTACAAATAGGTTGCACTGCGAGTTTCCATCGAGGCTTGGTCGTCGTCATGACCCAAGGCGCGGGTACACATTCGACTTAAACTATAATATAATAAACTATAATATACGCTTATCGTTTGTAGCAAAGAGTGTGTTGCATTCAACGTTTCAATAAGAACAAATATTATATGTAGTATATTGGAATAATTTTATATTCAAGATTATCCTACAATTTGTTTAACAAAGTTTTTTGTTTTCCTTTTCAGATGACGGTGGCCATGGAATGAATCAAGACGGTGAGTAAAATCATTTCAATGTTCTCCTAGATGCATTAGAATGCATACGTATATAATATAATAAACAACGTGTCTCTGAGCTTGTAACTTTCTATCGAATGAGTCAGTACTTTGGCGGAAATGTTGAATAAAAAAAATAAGATGGGCAAAAAGAGAAATACTTGGCGAACGATTATCGTTCCTCGAGACACGACGACGGGCGTAAGTAGAAGAAGGAGGAGATTATTCTAGACCGTTATCAGCAATACCGTTAGAATCGGTGCACGGCAATTAAATGAAAGAAAGAAAGTCTTGACCAAACGAGGGAGTCATCTAAATATCGAACCCCTTATCACTGTTATCGGCAACAAGCAATTCCTACTGAGAAATTATGATTCTTATCTATTCGTGTACGTAAGTGAGAAAGTTTTACAAAATGTCTTCTTATTTTCAATTCTAAAGGATTATATTTGATCATTCGTGATCAGTATTTCGAATAAAATGTGTACTTTGATGCAATATCCTGCTAACTGAAAAAAATTGAAGCTAAGAAAAAGTATGAAAAACAAAGAAGAATATTACACAGCCTCTCCATATCTGTTATGTAGAATCTTGATAAATGTTTTTTGTTTTTGTTTTTTATATATCAAGCCTCTCGATCGTACACGAAACTTAGGCTCGGGAAGAAACGTGTTGGAAGGTGTTGGAAGGTGTTGGAAGCACCGACGGCTACGACGTTCGAATAATTTATGCCAATGACGTAGGTAGAGTCTCCCTTCGCGGTGGGTGGGTGGAAGGGCTGGCCGAAGGTGGCGCGGAGAGTAATCACGAGTTTAAAGGGTAAACGGTTGTAAGGTGCGAGAAACTCGCGGTGTGGGGCTTTGTCTCTCTCTCTCTCTCTTTCTCTCTCTCTCTCTCTTTCTCTCTTTTTCACTCTCTCAACACGCTCAATATTCAACAGGTATTTACATTCGCAAATTGTTTACGTCAGCCCACGATGAAATCTGTCAGGGTTTCGTTCGCTCGCTCGCGTTGCCTTAACAGCCTCCTCCACCCTTTCTCTTTCTTTCTCTGAGCCTCGCGGCATCCTTCTTCGTTGGAGCGAATCAACGAGGACTGCCCTCTTCTCTCACATACGCCCTTCGAAAGCCTCGGGCAGCCGCGTAATTACGGGCGGGTATTAATCAAGCATACGTCCGCCAGAAGACTCGCAGAGATCTTGATTTTCACCGAGGCCCGGCGCACGAATTTCACGCTCGTGACCGTCGATCCGATCATACGATGGACACCATCATCAACGTTACCTATTACTACTACTACTACTACTACTAATTCCAACGATGGGATTATTAATTTACTTAACTCCGCCCGTTTAGCGATACTTAGCCCGGAGTACAGATCGATCGGTGGAACGTGTTGTTTCCGCGTCACTTCTTCCCTCTTTTATCATTCCTCTCGTAAATTATCCCGACGAAGCGCTTCGCGAAATCTGATTTATTAGCTGCTTATTCAAATCTCTAATGGGAAACACGTCGACGAGAAAGGTGCTTCGCGTAATTACGACCCTTCTCGAATGATTCGAAATTTGTCTTCTTTTATTTTCTTTTTTTGTTTTCTTTGCTTATGGTCATTATCTTTACGAGAGAAAGTTCAACGTTCCGTTTAAAATCAATCGATAGATAATTGATTAACGCCAAATCAAAATGTAAGGATCGATCGCGAAGCGGAACGTAAGGAGAATTGTATAACCAATCGATATCTGAATTTTATCGACATTAATGACAACTTATTTCTCTCTTCCCTTTTTCCTTTTGGTTGGCTTATTAATACGACGCGGATTACACTTGGGCAAGCGTAGTAGACGACCAGCGTGGCAAGCTTCGCCGGCGGTTATGCCGATCCTAATTATAGCGTAACACAACACAAGCTCGCCGGGCTTACGTAATCTCCCGATTATGCGGCTCTCCGAGTTCTTAGCGCTTTGCTAACTAACACTCTTTCAACGAGTCTACCTTTGATCTCTAAATTAATGATGACACTTTTAACGTGGAAAACGGAAAAACTACTAAAAGGAGGCGCACACACACACACACACACACACACACACAACCGTTGGTTATTAATTTCGATTCATCCTACGAGACATTAAATTATTCGATATCATCCTAACAAAATAATCCTTCCGTACGACCGAACCCTTCTGAGATACATTGATCGTAAAGGAAGGCCAAGCAACTTTCTGCAATATAAAAAGCAAAAGAAAAAGAAGAAGAAGAAGAAGATGAAACGACGAAGCAGGAAGGTACAAGTTGACCCAAATGACCCCCCGGCCTATCGTAGGCCGATTTCAAAGATACCGGCATATACCTAGGCTACGATAGCAAAGTAAGCGTCTTTCCTACCGTCCATCAGGACGATGCCACCGTCTTAGCTAAAGATTCAGGAAGCTAGCCGTCTCTTGTGTCTCTCTTCCTTCTACCTTCTATCTTTGTAACTCGGTTGAAGCCGATTAGCAGAAGCACGCCCGATAACATCGACCTGGCAGACGGCCTAAGCGATAACGGCCTAAGCGTTATCGCAAATGCCCTGGACGATGAATCGACGAACGTGAGAGAGAAGGAAAGACCGAGGTCGAGTTCTAATGCATCCGTATTACCAAGGATTCCGCACCTGTTTCTGGATCGTGACGATGCACTATCTTCTATCCTTCTTCAAACTATTTAACTTCAACGCTTTTTGCTATACCTACTAATGGCTACTCCTAACAAAATCGATGTCTTTTCTTCCAAAGATGTTTCCATTAGTTTTTCAATAAGAATACGAATTTTCAATGTATGCGATTTAAAGTACGCACGTCTATCCTCCGCCATAACTCGTCGAGCGAGTGAACGTTTCTACGATTCGACAAAGTAATACGGCCGGTTCAACGAGCTCGCTAATCAACAAAACTGTTTCTCTTGGCTCGTATCTGATGCTGGTTTGCACACTGAGATAGATCTATGCGACGTATATGTGTATGCACATGTATGCATATGTGTGTACCACGCCCGCGCACGCGAGAGAACTTGCTTGGCGAATGAAAGACCGAGAGAAAAAGAGATAGACAACAGCAAAGACAGAGTTGGGGTGACAAGAGGGAAGAGAGAAGGACGATCGTACGACGAATGATTTGTATTGCTAAATAATCAGCACCAGTTGTCTAGAGTAGTGGTTTAATGACTACTAGCCGACGAGGAGGGGAGTGGCGTGCAAACGGAGGAGGCTTATAATGCGTTTACCAACGCACACCCGATCGCCTATCTATATCGAGTCAAAGAGGAGAGCCTGCTGCTGATTCACTGCAATCTATTCACCGCTCTACCTATTTCTTATAATAAAATAATCCTTAAGATTTCTACGCCGATATTTGCCACGTACCTTAACTATCTATCTTTTATTAATATCGTCTACGCCATTACGAATACCATATATATATATATCTCTTTCTATTCTTACGTCGCGTACATCATAGACTGCAATCCTTTTCTTTTTTTCTTTTTCACCATTTCACTTATTGTTAGATTAAGTTTTTCTAAGTACAAATCGATTAAACTTACGAGTGGGGACGATAGTATTGCTAGTCTCTCGTGTTCCTTTTCTTTTATCTTTCTTTGTTTTTTTTTTTTTTTTTTTTTTTTTTTTCCACCTCCCGGCGATTCGCAGCACGAGATATAGGTTCGCATGGATCGAGATTAAAGGTAGAGAAGAAGAAGAAGAAGAAGAAGGAGAAGAAGAAGAAGAAGAAGAAGAAGAAGAAGAAGAAGGAACCGGTGATTTCACTTCGAATTCCAACTGCAATCGTCCTTTTTCTTCTCGACTCTACATAGCACGTCTGGAGAAAGAGAGAGAGATAGCCAAAGATACAATCGGTTACGAGCGCAGGTTACTGTAGAAGTAGTAGTCGCAAAGTAAGACTATGTGTATATGTGTTGCAAACCTGGCGGCGGGGATCTCTCCACCTCCACCACCTTCAGCACCTCCGCTATGACCACTATTGCCACGTGTTACTAGTACTTCTATCTACACATACGTACTCATATGTGTCTACTATTTATATGTATATAGGTATATATTGGTAGATATAGGTATATGCGTGTATACGGACAAGGGTGTGGCTCTGGTTCGCAACGGTATCATCGCGTCGGTGCATACCGATCATCGCTACGAAATTCTTCCTTCATTTCCATATTATCCGGCGATATCTTTTCAGGTGGTTCTATGGAAACGTAGCTCGACTATCGATCGAGAACTCCCAGCTCGTCTTCTTTCTATCAGCTTGTTCATCTTAGCAAACAATTTTATTCTTATCTGGTAACATTTGTTAAGAGTTTAAGAAGAAGAGAAAGAAAAGAAAAAGAAAAAGTACGAAATAGATGGTCGAAATAGTTGGAATTTTTCCGAGTTAACTCTTCATGGGAAAATGGGAGCTCGGAGTTAAAGCAAGGTAAACCTTGAAACAATTTCGATCGAGATACCTCCTTCGAGAAGAGAGACCGAGAGAGAGAAAATTGCTTTCATTTTTCTTGACACCTCGTGTACCGCCCTCTTCCTTCTTCGTGGTAAGCGTCAAAGTAGGGTTCCCTTTTATCGTCCATAGGCGATCTCAAAGTTGCCAGTTACCGCTTCCATCCTTCACAGCTCTCGGGTGTAAATCCCAGTTAATTCGAAGGCCGCCGCTGCAGCCGCCGTCGTTGCTGCCGCTGCAGCCGCGACTCACCGTCAAGTACTTCGGGTTAAAACGCGTTAACTCGCTCTCTCGAAGTTATAAGAAAGAGAGAGAGAGAGAGAGAGAGAGAGAGTGAGATAGTTGGATAGAGAAACGTGCCTTCGCAAACTTACAACACGAGCACACAGATATTCTAAGGTATCTCGGCTTTTCTGCCAATGTAAACGCACCTTCGTAATGCCCGGCTATCGAGCGCTACGTCGGATACTTGCGCAAACAGTCGGAGGAAGTGCAGTTGCGAGAGCGCAAAAGAGAA